GAGATTCAAGTTTAATTACAGACTCACAGTGAGTCTTAAAACCTAGGGTCCCAAAGTGGAACCCTAGTACCACTTGTCAAAGAAACCCCAAAACCTAGGGTTTCGAATAGAGTCAGACAATAGAAGATGAGCAAACAGGTCATTGAAAGAGGCTCAAAAGCCCTTTTCAAAGACTTATGAGAGACAAGCATACATAATAAAGAACACTGATTCAAGGTCATGAGACCATGTTTGAGAAAACTCGGAGTTAAAACAAGTTCACAAGAAAGAGATGATACGAGTTTTTAAACAACAGTAGAGAAAAATATGCTTAGCAAGAACACAAATAGAGTTCAGTAAAGTGAGCAAAAAAAATCACAAATTTCAACCATAAACACATATAGCAAAGAATAAGGCAAACAACACAAGTTAATATGCGACCATAAGATTAACAGCAAAAGATAGAAGAGTTTTGCATAATAGAAAAGAAACAAGAGAGCAAACTCATGCGTAATAAGAAGAAAACATACGAGCATAAAACACACATGTAGAAAGAACAGGAAGAAATCAGAAAAATATTTGAAGAAACCTTTTCAGAAACCCTAAAAATCGAATTTGAACGATTTTGAAAAGGAAATTTTGGGGAAAACCTTAAAAATGTCAAGTAAAGCTCAGGCATGTCACAAATATAAAAGAAGTAAGCAAGTACAGAACCTCAGACGGCTTAGAGTTGCAGAGAAAACCCTAGAATGAGAAAGGTCTTGAGGAAAGTTAAATCCTGAGTCGAAGAGACTCATATTGCTTGAACATGCCGGAATAATGGCCGGAAAGGCCATAGATCTATAGATCTGAGAAAGATCTGAAGGGAACCATCAGAGTCGAGCTTCAAGTCTTCGAACAACTTAGGATTAATGGTGAGAGAGGGTGAGCATAAGTCATCCATGGCCTGGAACGCCATGGATTCCGGTGGAATCGTGGTGGAATAAGGTGGGAATCGATTAGGGTTTCGGAGAGGCTAGAGAGAGTTTGAGAGACGAAGAGGGTTCAAAGGCGGCGTCTCTGATAGAATGAATCAGGTTTAGGGGGGTATAGGAATTAAAAAGGAAAGGGGGAATCTCGACCGTTGATCAAAAATGATCAACGGCCTGGATTAAAGGGGAGCCGGGTGGGTTTGAAGACGGGTCTTGGGTTGGGTTAAAATTGAAATTGGGTTATTTTAATTTGGGCGGAATTGGGGGGGTCAAATTGAGGCTAAAATTGAAAGGAAATGAGGTTGTAATTGAAATAGAAATAGGCTAGACGTTAAATAGCCAATTTTCCTTTTTTCATTTTATAAAAATAGTAATAATGATTTTAAAACCATATTAAAAGCACTGAACTAATTAATAATTCATAAGTATTGATCTAAAAATACTAGAAATGATTTTATAATTGTAAAATATTGTTAATCGTAAAATAGGCTATAATTGCAATTATATGCAATCTAGCTTTAGAAATACCAAATAAATTTGTAAAAATATACAAAATTACCTTAATTATATTTGGTGTAAATATGAGAATGGAAATAAATTATTCACCAAAAAATGATAATCTGGGAATAATTATTGAATTTTGTACTGATAAAATAGACAATAAATTAATTTTAAAAAATCATAAAAAGTTAGGGAAAAATACCAAAACTCTTGGGCATGCTTATATGTGCATACACATGCTATTTTGAGATTATTTTGAGTATATATATAAAAAAATACATAGGGAAAAATTGGGTATCAACAATCTGGTCATCGGGGCTGCAATAGATGAAAACCCCTCCACGAACCGTCGATAGTAGCCTTCCAACCCCAAGAAACTCCGAATCTCTGTAGCTGATGCTGGTCTAGGCCAGTTCTTGACTGGCTCAATCTTCTTTGGTTCCACTTGAATACCCTCCGCTGATACAACATGACCCAGAAATGCAACTGAACTCAGCCAGAACTCACATTTGGAGAACTTGGCATATAACTGACTATCCCTCAGAGTCTGAAGAACCACTCTAAGGTGCTGCTCGTGCTCCTCCTGGCTGCGGGAATATATCAATATATCATCAATGAAAACTATCACGAATGAGTCCAAATAAGGCCTGAACACTCGGTTCATCAAATCCATGAAAGTTGTTAGGGCATTTGTCAACCCGAATGACATAACCAAGAACTCATAATGCCCGTACCGTGTGCGGAAGGCTGTCTTAGAGACATCGGATGCCCTAATCCTCAACTGATGGTAGCCAGATCACAAGTCAATCTTGGAAAATACCCTAGCACCCTGAAGCTGGCCGAACAAATCATCAATCCTCGGCAGTGGATACTTATTCTTGATCGTTACCTTGTTCAATTGCCGGTAATCAATACACATTCTCATTGACCCATCCTTCTTCTTGACAAATAACACCGGCGCACCCCAAGGTGAGACACTGGGTCTAATGAAACCCTTCTCAAGCAAATCCTGCAACTGTTCCTTTAGCTCCTTCAACTCCGGCGGGGCCATACGATATGGCGGGATAGAAATGGGCTGAGTGCCCGGAACCAGATCAATGCAGAAATCAATATCCCTGTCGGGTGGCATACCCGGCAGGTCTGAAGGGAAAATGTCGGGGAACTCAGAAACAACGGGCACAGAGTCAATAGAGGGAACCTCAGCACTAGAATCCCGAACATAGGCCAAACACCCCTTCTCGACCATACGCCGAGCCTTCACATACGACATAACACTGTGGGTAGAATGACTAGGAGTCTCTCTCCACTCTAAACGAGGCAAACCCGATAAAGATAAGGTCACAGTCTTGGCATGACAGTCCAAGATAGCGTGATAGGGTGATAACCAGTCCATCCCCAATATAATGTTAAAGTCAACCATGTCTAAAAGCAACAAATCTACACGAGTCTCCAGACCCCCAATCACCACAACGCAAGAACGATGGACTCGATCGACCACGATAGAATCACCCACCGGCGTAGACACATAAACAGGAATACCCAATGCATCACTAGGCATGATCAAATACGGGGCAAAATAGGATGACACATACGAATACGTAGACCCCGGATCAAACAACACAGAAGCATCTCTATCACAAACCAGAACCGTACCTGTAATAATCGCATCTGAAGCCTCTGCCTCGGGCCTGGCCTGAAGAGCATAACATCGGGGCTGGCCCCACCACTCTGATCTACCTCTCTAGGTCGGCCTGCTGCTGGCTGGCCTCCACCTCTAGCAGTCTGAGCTCCACCTCTATGACCTCTACCTCCACCTCTAGTACCTCTAACCCCCCCCCCCCCCATCTCTAGCTGGCTGGACGGGCTGTGGAACACCTGGTGCCTTAACCATGGCACGAGAACTCTGATGCTGAGAGCAACCTGGCGCGCGAGGGCAATACCTAGCAATGTGCCTCGTGTCGCAACAAGTAAAACAAGCCCTCGGCTGCTGCGGTTGACGACCCTGGAAACTCTAAAGTGGTGGTGCACTAATAGGTGCTGGTGGTGCACTGAATGACTGCTGATCGGGATACTGCGTCTGAGGACCACAGCTACCAGAAGCACCTTGAGAAACCTGGAGGGCTGACTGGAAAGGCCTGGAAGGCTGGCCCCTATCATATAAATCTCTGCCTCCAGACGAGGCACCACTGAATCGGCCTGACTGACGGGGTCTCTTGTCTGCCCTATGACCACCCCCCTGTGATAATACCATCTCAATCCTCCGGGCCACATTGGCCGCCTCCTGAAAGGATATCTCGCTCCCAGTCTCTCTAGCCATCTGGAGGCGAATAGGCAGGATGAGTCCATCAATAAACCGTCTCACTATCAGTGGGAAGTATAACAATAGCATGGCGGGCCAACTCAATAAACCTAGTCTCGTACTGGGTGACTGTCATGGATTCCTGATTGAGACGCTCGAACTGCCTCCGATAGGCCTCTCGCTGAGTAATAGGGAGAAACTTCTCCAGAAATAGATGTGTGAACTGCTCCGAGGTCAAGGCTGGAGACCCTGCTGGTCTAGCTAAACAATAATCCCTCTACCAAGTCTTGGCGGATCCAGACAACCGGAATGTAGCAAAATCAACCCCATTGGTCTCAACAATGCCCATGTTCCGAAGAACCTCGTGGCAGCTGTCCAAATAATCCTGAGGATCCTCGGTAGATTCACCGCTGATGGTAGTAGTGAAGAGCTTGGTGAACCTATCCAACCTCCATAAAGCATCGGCAAACATAGCTGCCCCATCACCGGCCTGGGCTACCACACCCGGCTAAGTCACTCCAACTGGCTAAACTGCTGGAGTCTGAATCGGGGGAGCTCTCTGCTCTGGAGTGCGAGTAGCAGGAGTCTGGGCCCCTCCTCCAGCCTGAGAGACGGCTAGTGCTACAGGAAGCAAACCTGCTCGGGTAACACTCTCCATGAGACCCACCAATCGGACCAGAGTGTCCTGAAGAACTGGGGTAGCAATAAACCCCTCTGGGACCTGAGTTGGGCCCACCGGAGCTGCTGGGGCTGGGGCCGGAACCTCCTTGTCAAAGTCAACCTGAGGCTCCGCCATTGGAGCTGCTGCTCGGGGCTGAGCTCTGCCCCTACCTCGGCCTCTAGCACGGCCTCGGCCTCTGCCCCTAGCGGGAGCTGCCTAGGGCTCCGACTGCAGATCACAAGATGAGGAAGCGCGTGTTCTCTCCATCTGCAAAAGAACAGAGTAGAAATTCAATTAGCGTTGAGAAACCAAACCGCACGATAAGGAAGAACAAAAGTGAAATTTTTCCTAACTCAGTAGCCTCTGGGGATAAATACAGACGTCTCCGTACCGATCCCTCAGACTCTACTAAGCTTGTCCGTGAGTTGTGAGACCTATGTAACCTAGAGATCTGATATCAACTTGTCACGACCTAGATTTCCCACTCTCGGGGGTCGTGATGGCGCCTACTGATGAGAGCTAGGCAAGCCAACCCTTAACTAAATTACTTCTTTTAACAATTATCAGTAATATTATGAAAATAGCGGAATAAGGTAAATAAGCGAAAGTCTTAAATTTAAGAATTTGAACAACAATGGGAAAAATCAACATAAACCCTACCCAAGAACTGGTGTCACATACTCACGAACCACTAAGAGTACTAAATACAACCGTTTGAAAGAAAGTACAAACTGTTTGTCTCTAATACATGAGATGACAGACTAAAATAAAAGATGGAGGAGACGCCAGGCCTGCGGACGTCTGCAAGGCTACCTCGGAGTCTCGCTGGACTGAACGCTAACTCCCATGCTACTGCTGTTGTCCAATGCCTGGATCTGTGCAAAAGAGCACAGAGTGTAGTATCAGCACAACCGACCCCATGTGCTGGTAAGTGCCTAGCCTAACCCCGACGAAGTAGTGACGAGGCTAGACAGGNACCACCCGCTCCCATTTCATCAAATCTCGTGGTAGGCGTACCACCCACTCCCATTTCAATCAATATCTTGTGGTAAGCGTACCACCCGCTCCCATTTCATCAAATCTCGTGGTAGGCGTACCACCCGCTCCCATTTAAATCAATATCTTGTGGTAGGCGTACCACCCGCTCCCATTTCAGTCAATATCTTGCGGTAGGCGTACCACCCGCTCCCATTTCAGTCAATATCTTATGGTAGGCGTACCACCCGCGCCCATTTCACTTCAACCCAAAGTCACAATGACATTCCGGCAAGGAATTCAAAAATCACATAATGCAAATTTCCCAGCAGGGGAACAACAATATCAAAATAACCATCCCGACAAGGGAGAATCAGCTATAACCAAATCCTAGCTCAACTCTTACTCAGCTCGAGTGATACCACAAGTATAAATAAAGTCCACGAGAATAACTAAATCTCTACTCAATATCAAGAGTCATCAATTTAAAGCATCCGAAGGGTCATTTATGATCACAACAACTATCAATTTAAGACTCACGATCATGCTAGACACCAACGTATAGATACTCATCACCATGCCTATACGTCGTACACAACAAGAAGCAATTAGCAAATAAGACTCCACTCCTAGTCCCTCAAGCTAGGGTTAGACCAAACACTTACCTCAAAAACATCTTACGAAAATATTCGTGTAATCAAATCACCAAAATAACATCATGAACATCGAATTAAACCTCAAAATCAATGAAATTTCCAAAATCTCCTGTTAAACATCAATTTCCCATTTCGGGTCCGGATCCCGTCAAACGACGTCCGTTTTTAACCAAACATTACAGGAGTGATTCAAATCGTATATAAGACTTGTACCGGGCGCTGGAAGCAAAATACGGGCCCGATACCATTACCTTCAAATAAGATTTCATTTCAATTTTCTTTAAACATTTTTAGAAAATAATTTCACTTAAAAATTCATATCTCGGGCTCGAGACCTCGGAACTCAATTCTGGGCATACGCCCAAGTCCCATATTTTCATACGGACCCTCCGGGATCGTCAAATCACGGGTCCGGGTCCGTTTACCCAAAATGTTGAACGAAGTCAAATTTATTCATTTTAATATCAAAATTTAACATTTTTCACAGAATTTCACATTTAAGCTTTCCGGCTACGTGCCCGGACTGCGCATGCAAATTGAGGCGACTCTAAATGAGGTTTTCAAGGCCTCGAAAGCACATTAATTAAAACCGGTGATGACCCCTTGGGTTGTCACATTCTCCACCTCTAAAACAATCGTTCGTCCTCGAACGGACAGAAGAAGGAAGAAGGAAAAGATGAGAGATAGGCTAGATGTCAAATTGAGGCTAAAATTGAAAGGAAATGAGGCTGTAATTGAAGTAGAAATAGGCTAGATGTTAAATAGCCAATTTTCTCCTTTTCATTTTACAAAAATAGTAATAATGATTTTAAAACCAGATTAAAAGCACTGATCTAATTAATAATACATAAGTATTGATCTAAAAATTCTGGAAATAATTTTATAACTGTAAAATGTTGTTAATCGTAAAATAGGCTATAATTGCAATTATATGCAATCTAGCTTTAGAAATACCAAATAAATTTGTAAATATAGACAAAAATCACCTTAATTATATTTGGTGTAAATATGAGAATGGAAATAAATTATTCACAAACAATGATAATCTGGGAATAATTATTGGATTTTGTACTGATAAAATAGACAATAAATTGATTTTAAAAAATCTTAAAAAGTTAGGGAAAAATACCAAAACTCCTGGGCATGCTTATATGTGCATACACATGCTATTTTGAGAATATTTTGAGTATACATATAAGAAAATACATAGGGAAAAATTGGGTATCAACAGCTGCCCTTCTTTACCTGAGAAGGATGAAAGAGTTGTCGGGTAAAGATATGATGGCCGATTTTGACCATAGCGCCCCTTATTTCACTAAAGCAAGAAGGGAGAAACTTGACTTTGAGAAAGAAGGGCTTCTATTTAGATTAGTTTCTTAGTAAAAGATAAGGCAAGAAGCAAGGGCGTAGCAGCTGCGCGAAGTTGCGCCTTAGCGCATCCGTTTTCTTGCTCGTTAGCGCCCCCCTACCCCTATTATTTATATTATAGTCATAAAGGAACTAAAGGAAATTTGACAACCTTACTAATAGAAAGGGGATGCGCTCAAGCATGCGAAGAAAGCTCGAAGCGAAAGAAACGATTTGGAAAGTTTTGACCGAGCTCTAGTTCCTGAGCTGCCTACATATCCCTGGTCTTACAGGAATCAGGCCATATGTAATTCAGGGTCCATTGACGGAATATGCGGATGGAGGTTTTTGAAAAGAACGGACACGATGTTTAGATTGAGAAAAGTGGTTGAAGTCTGATAGACTGCGGGAACTGGAGCGGGATTGCTCCTGCTGAGACAGCTGGTGATAGCCGGGGTACCTGCAAATGAATAATACCAACATATATTGTGCATAAATTTAAACGTGATGCAAGTTCCTATTGGACCGTGAATGCTGTCTTCGAATGGTTAGGATGACGTCCTTGGACCATGACATCCTGGGCCATGAAGCGTATAATAAAGGATTCGCAGGCTATGAAATGATGTTCTCGGGCCATGAGGATGATGCCTCCGAACCACAATGCCTTTGAATAATGATATGCGAAAGATAAAAGTGGGGTCCTTAGGCCATGGCATGGCGTTCTCGGGCTATAAAAATGGTGCCTCCGAACAATGACGCCTTTGGATAACTGTCACACCTCTTTTTTACACACCTCCCCGGGAAGGATAGTGTATAAGGGAGTTTTTCCACTTTAAGTGACATTATTCGAAATGGGATTGTTATTCAATTCAGAGTCGCCACTTGGGATAATTTATTTGGTGTCCCAAGTCACCGGTTTATTTTAAATCTCAATTCGAGGAAAATTCGACTTCCCTTGTGAAGTCTGCGAACTAGAAATTCTGACTAAGGAATTCTGTTAACCTGGAGGAAGGTGTTAGGCACCCCCAGATTCCGTGGTTCTAGCACGGTCGCTTAAACTATTACAATTGGCCTATTATCTGATTTTAATACATGTTCAAACCTATAGTGCAATTTTAAATTATTTACCGCTTTTAATTAATTTTAAGGAAAGTTGAACGTCGTCTAAAACATGTCTTTGGATCACGTCACATGAAATGCACCCGCAATCCGAAACACATTTTAATCAACGTTTTAGGATTTGGATTTGGGTCACGTGAAATGCACACCCGAGTTTAAGAAGATAGATTATTAAAATACGCGCCTAAAGCGACTAACGCGTTTTTAGCTTTGCGAGGGCCACGGAAATTTGCTAAATGGCACACCTCGATTCGAATTTCAAAAGATTGTACTCAACTAAAGCAAGCTACGGATGTTCATAATTATTTTCCAAAACTAATTTGAAATCATGCGAAAGTTCTCATAGTATGGAATTTGTTTGTGGCTAAATGGACAGGAATTAATAGGCACTTCAGTGGATTCTTTACGCACTAGGATTCATTTGGAAGTTTGGCACAAAATATCGAAAAGAAACGATTTTTAAAACAAAACATTCAAGCAAACCAATTTATGACAGAATAATTGTACCATTTCTCCATACGGTCTCAAAGAAAGAGGCTGGAATAACAACCCTTCAAAAATGGGAATCGGCTTATTTGGAATTACTAGGTACTAGGCCAACTCAATAAACAAAAGTGATTAAATGAACGTGCCCAATAAGCTAGGTAAACTTCAACACCAGCCCAAACAAAACACTAATCTTGCAACTTCAGATTTTTTACCCACGAAACTAAAGCTCATCAAACTCAATATTAATAAACTAAGACCCAAATGACAATGAATGACAAATTCCATGAGATGGTGCCAAGGAAAGAAGTAAGGATCCATAACAAGCTTTCAAAAGCTCACACACGACACTACATGTAATTATTAGGAAGAACCTGTTTTTGATTTTAACAATTATCCCAAAATCACATAAGCATGTCAGGAGATAGCTTCAATTGGAGAAAATATTAGGCATACCAAATGGGACAGAATGATATCATATCGCTTCAACACAAAGACTAAAGGCCGGGGATCTTAGGATGATTTTTCAAGCCACCGAAGTTAGGTACCGTGTAAATACAACAAATTACAAAGGTATTGCTATCCCTGAGAAATTGACAACATAACTGCACATTTGAACTTATATCTTCAGGAGGCCAAACTTTTGAATCGCGGCTAGTTTTTTGCAGAAATAAGTGATTCAATACACCATGGCTTCTTATTCATATATGCTAGTTCGAACAATCAGTAACTTAGCATCAAATACAGTTGAGTCACGTAAAATATGGGAATTTATCAAGCTGAATTTCATGTTGTCCGGAATCAGCATATTTCAGACATAAGTTCCAAACCATTTAGTGATAAAACAAACATAAAATCAGAAGATATTCCATCATAAATCAATTAATTTGATCGTTCCAACAAGTAGGGATAGAGATCTTTGGTGTGTACCTAGTTTTGCGGCAACACAGCTTAAAATAGCCAAATAAAGACCAGAAATCTACTGGTTGGAGCTCAGCAATAGAAGAAACAGCCCATAGCTTCAAATTTCGAATCCGAAGTAAAACTCGAACACCCAGAAATTCAGGAGCTAATGCAGCGGAAATCAACTAAAGCAGCAGCTGCGACCTTGAGAATCCCTTTTGAAACGAAAATCCAGAAAGCTAA